CCCCAGGCGTAGAATCCTACTGCTTCTCTTGCGGCTACTCATCCGTTCTGATGGAATCGCAACGCTCTTTCTGCGGTTGCTTCTATGCTTCCTACTCACATTCCACAGGAAGTTGGTGAGCGCAGCCTGATAGCTGCCCAGAGTATTCCTGACAGAACCCATGAATCTTCCACGCAAAGCCCCTGGCCGGGCCATGGTCTAGCCCTGAAGGATCACAACCTGCCCCTGCCACTCATGCTCCTTTCGTTACTTGCCCACCGCATTAAAAGAGTGGAAGCAAAAGAAACATGATGAAGGCTATCTCGGTTGTTGTAATGCTTTAGGCTAAAGATTGCCATCCCTGTGCTGTAAGCATCATTGGGCTGCGTGAACACAACGCTGCCCTTGCAAGCAACCCATGCTCAACACTCGAAGAACCGCTTCTCCTAACATGGCCCTGGCGAGGCGAGAACCCAACGCAATCCTTCAAGTGCTGACCATCCATATCGAAGCGCCTTCGCTCCCGAAGCCATTTGTGGACTCATTTTCGGACAGGTTTTGTGCATATTCGCGCTTCCGCCAGCATCCATCTGCAACTGTGTTTGATTTCGCCACTTCTGCCTGCACGAATTGCATGGACTGAAGTACAGACAGCATAGGGCAATTTACAATCCGTCCGGGCCTCATAGACCTTTCCAGACCCCATCAATGAGGTGTCAATCGAATGAAAGCCAAAGCCAGTGGTAGAGTTGAGTGGCCAGTGTCCATTGTTCATGAAGAGGCTGCAATTGCCATCGGGCGTTATGTGAAATCCTGGGCTCTCCGCATTGTGGTACGATAGCTCCATGCAGGCATCCAGGCAGCAGTGGTAATGCTTGAAGGGAAGCAAGGTGAAGGTGTCGTACGTCCTGTTCCTGAGTAGGTTTGGGGTTAGGGAAGGACAGAACTTCTGCAGGCTTTGGATTGGCTCGAGCGTGCTTCAGGTCCGCACGACGAAGAGCCTACTGTGGCGCAAAGATCCGAGAATTCTCGCACTGCAGGGTCTCTGAATAGTTACCGGCAACAGTTCCCAGAATCTCACCCTATGTCATGGTCATATAGGAAACCTGGGACCATAATACTGATAAGTATTTGGGCTTTTACATTACCCAGCTTTGAGCATGAAGGCCGCCACAAGCAACCAACCACCACCGCTACAACCCTGCTGTACCAGCCAGCGTGCCGCCTACTATCCAGTTGTTGAATTCCCTAGGCCCGAAAAAATCTGCAATTCATAGGAAACCTTACAAGGTGCAAAGCCAGTCCTTGTGACTGACCCGCCTGAGCGAAAGTGTACCTACCCGGCAAATGTTCCTTGAAATTGAAAAAAGAAAAATATGAACAAAAAGCGGAGTCTGTATAAAACAAACTTCCTGAATATTTTTCAAGCCCTAAACCCCCATATACTCTAATCCTTACTATTTTTGAAACGCTGAACCCTACACCTGAAAACCCTAAAACCTCAAAACCCTAAACCCTGAAACCGATCCCTTCAAACTCTAAAATCCCAAAACCCTGAACCATAAAACCTAACCCCCAAAAACCCTGAACCCCTACGTGGGCGTCGAATTGGCCAGCGAGGCTCTGCCGGTCCAGGCAGAAACCATCACCGATGCGCTCGAAGGAGTCAAAGATGGCAAGGCATCTTCAGTGAAACCCAAATATGAGGGTCATATAGGGCTTAGGGTTTAGGGTCAAACTCCTTGGGAGGTAAACATTTTTCATAGAACTATGGGCATAATGGAAAAGAAAATGGAAACTACTATCTAAAGTGTTCTTTTCTTATGGGGCCTTTTCTCCTCAGGCTGCTTAGTCCCTTGGAAATGCTCCTAAAGCACGGCCCGAAGCTTGCTACACAAATGGACCCGAGGCAACACCATCAGACCTCTACATACAAGGCTCCTCTCCAAGCATTTAAAGTTTAGGGTTTAGCGTTTCGGAAAGTTGGGGGGCCCCTTTTCGCGGGGTGGGTCCCGAGAGAAAGGATTAGGCATATTGGATTCTATCTATACCTGAGAGCTCCCTTTTCTGGAACCTCCTAAATTTCGGGTTTAGGCTAGCGGCTAGCGGGTAGCATTTCGGGTTCCCTTTTGTGTTGGGTTGGAAATGTAGTGCAAATCCCAAAATGCTTTCCAGGAAGGGCCCGGACACTGGTATGATAGTAGGGAGATTGCCAGCAGCTCCCGAAAAGCCCATGCAGATCGCATCAGCTAGAATTTTGATAAATGCGACGTTTCTTATAATGGAATTTTGGCGTGTGCTGCTATAAAATCTTGATATAACCTGTAGGAAAGCCACCCAATCAGGGCCAATCTGATCTCAGGCTGCACTTTGTCGAACGTTCTGCTTTAGATTTATGCTTCAGACTTTATCTGTGGGCCTCGTTTGATGCTAGCTTTCATCCGGTACCTGGGCAAATGCCTGCAGCGAAGCTTTCATCACAACTACAGCACATCGGGCAGGACGCAGGCCATCACCCTTCCATGCTGGGACTGTCCTGTCACCAACGTGCACATGCACCGAGCATGTTCCCCTAACCCCTAACCCCCGAACCTTCACTATGTTTTATGCAGAAGGCGGGCAAGAGGGCAGACGAGCCCGTCCTTGCTGGTCAGGGTCCCCGACCGACACCCCGAAGATCCACTAACATTGTATCTGCGTGGTTCCACAAAACTCGGCTCCTTTATGACATCCAAATTTGACATATTTCGCTCACCCGCAAGGATGCCGAATCTTTGGGGTGCAGAGTGCAAGAGTGCAGAGCGTCCATCACACACCTTGAGGTGGCGGTGGAGCAAACTATACATCTCCTGAACCCTCGTCATCAGGTAAGCCAGGAAGATTCAAAAACCAAGTTGTGGTTTCTGCTTCGCCCTGAAACACACAATTTTTGGAGTACTGTAACAGTGATCGTGTTGAAGGGGAGCCCTACATCCAAAACACGACTGCTCACAGTCCTCATTACTTCGACATCTGTAAAAGCTCTGCTGATCACCAGCCAGGTGGGGATGCAAAAATGCCAATGCCTCACAGTAGTCTTTCACCATGTTTATGAAGCAACATGGCGTGTCACAGTTGTTCTCCTGAAGCTTTGCTCAAGGCTACCAAGAGGGCTCAGGTTCAGGTTCCACTGAGGATTTTTTGAGCGAACATGGGCCCGTGCGCCTGGCGGCTTGGTTTCACGAAGCCAATACCGGGAGACGGGCATTGCATGCGTTCTTCCTTCGGCTCGGAGATAGTTAGTGTGGTCTAACTTCTGTCGCTTCTCATGTATGTGGGTGTTGCTATTCATCCTGCTATCATGTATATCGGATCTTACAGCCAGATTCCATGTCCGTCCAGCATCACGTGTCTGTACAGCACGACGTTCGCTCCTTTGGAGGCGAAGCGCCTGGAACCATGGAGCTCTGGTGAGCAAAGCGTTGAGGGCTAAACTTTAATGCAACTTATAAAAGGTGGCAGTTCAATCGAGATGCTGAAATTTTGGATCTGAATCTAATGCATGCGACTCATGGACATGAATGACAACGCGTCACTGGCAGCGTATCAGGCATCATCCTCTGCAAACCAGACCTTGAGCTCGCACAAACTCAACCACTGATAGATTTTGAAGCAAAGCCCGAAGACTTCCCACGTAAGGACCCAAAATACAGGACGCCTTGAGTTGGGAAACTTCCACTGAACAATGACTGGAGGAAATCTCCCCAAGATTTTGAAAATCCTTTTGCGATCGACATGGCGCTGCTAGCTTTCCTCCATCCACAGAGGTAGAAGCGCTCCACTAATATTAAACCCCCATCCCCCCCACACCCCTACTATTACACACTTTCCATTATGGTACATTACAATATATTGGGAACATATACAAGAAGAGGGTGGGTGGGGGTAAACCCTCAACCCTGAATTAGGATGGGTGGGGTGGTTAATATTATGGGGAGGGGGAATGGATGTCAGCGACGAGGCCTCGCAGAACTGTGACATCCTTTGGCTGCCTCACATTAGTGTTTGGGGTTTAGAGTTTAAGGTTTTGAGTCTAGGTTTAGGTTAAGGTTGTTTTTCAAGGTTAAGGGTTAGGGTTTGAGGTTAAAGGGTTGAGGGTTTAGGGTTTGGGCTTTAGGGTTTGAGGGTTTGGGGTTGAGGGTTTAGGGTTTAAGATTCCTTTCCTCAAAGCAGCCGCAACTGCCTCCGTAAACTCACTGGCTCTAAGTAGGGAATGAGGGATTCCCAATACGCACTCCACCGTCCTAGGAGGCCTCTCTTGGTCTAGCAATTCGTTAGTCGACATTTGAGGGGATACAGAAATCACCACACCGAAAGCTTGCGTGGCCGCTGACGATAGTCCCATGCAACCGTTCAGCGTTCTCTGCGTCATGGTCAAAGTCATACTTCTAGTAAGGCTATCCGAGCACGAGCAAGATGCAGAAAAACCTGGACCGTAGATCACCCTCCACAGGCCCTAATCAACTTCTCAACTTTGAAGTTGCCTGCACTGTGATCAACAGCATGGAAATGGTAGCAACATGGATGACAGCAATGCAAGTGCTCGTAGCAATTGCAAAGCCAAGTAGTGGCATGTACAAGGTGCCTCATATGTCCTTTCAACACTGGATTTCCGTTGATATTCTGAGGCTTGTGTTTGCAACATTCAAAACCCAACATGATCATTAAACGCAAGAACAGCAATCAAAGATGCTTATCAAACGGTCTCAAGTAGCTGTGACAAGGTCCACACAGCGGATGCTGACCAGGTGGTTTACAATTCTGTTCACGTGTATGGGTTATCAAAGGATGAAAATACTCAATTGTAATTTGCCTGCAGATGATCCAGGCATCGCTGCGGACCCGTTAGTGGGGATGGTCATTTTGGACTCTGCTCCAAAGTCACACCAGGATGTCCCTGGCAGGAACCTAGGCACCCTGAAGATCCCCTATGGACCTGCGACTCCCTGCAGCCCCATCCCAAGTTAAGCCGAAGCTCTGCTTCACGGGCCCTCCGCCTTGGACACGGAGACTTCCACCAGGTACTCGGGGTAGACCTCATGGGGCTTGCTACGCTTATCCTGCTCTGTTTGCTCTGATGACTGCAGTGGCTCCAGGGCTATTCTTGCCAGTATCTTCATCTTTGTCCCTGCTCTTGATCCCGTTGATGTTGCCATGACCCGCCCCCTCCACGGGAGGTTCCAGGCAGGGTGTAGCATAAGGCTACAGCAAAATAAAAATTACCACAAGTGGCCCAAATATAGATTTTTTGGGGCTTGGGCCAAAGGAGGTGAGGAACACTCGCGGTTGCGCAAGTTTAGGGTTTAGGGTTTAGGCGCGCCGAATGTATGCAAACTCTAACATCAGCTGTCGCCAGAAAGGCACACGGCCTTTTCCACCCCTCAGGCCAACCAGGACCCGCAGCACGCTCGTGTGGGTTTTCAGCTCCCCCTGGCCTTGAAACATTTATAACCCAAGTTTCCATTCAATTCTTCATGTTATTTTCCATTTGAATCTCCATTATTGGGATAATAATCCAATATAACCCCTAGATAAGCCCTATATATCCCCCCCATATAACCCCCATATAACCCCTATATAACCACTGTATTTAAGGCCAAAGGGGCTTGGCTTGCTCAAGGCCTCGAGGCTAAGACTTCCCCCCATGAGCCCAAAGGGGTTTAGGGCTTAGAGTTTAAGGCTTCGGGCTTAGGGTTTAGGGCTTAGGGTTAGGGCTTAGGGTTCAGGGTTTAGGGCTTTGTGTGATGGCAGTCCAGCAAATCATGGCATCCGTGTGTAGCTTTGTTCAAACGATGCCCATGTGCGCGCAAAGAAGGCCGACGCCATAGCCTGTTGCGTATTCGCCGAGAAAAGAAGGCTTGGCCATATCCACGTGTAGCCATCTTCCTTGATGGCCTGCGTGCTTCACATGCTTGTAGATGAAGAGTCCTGCGCAGGATGATTGAGCATTGCCCCGATCCTTCACTGAGTTTTTCATGTCCGCAAACTCTGAGTCGAACTCCGACAAGAGTAGCTCCGGAGCAAAGAGACCGGGGTGTGCACCCTCACCAGACTTGCGACCCGCATCCACAACCTCGTTCTCCAAGCCCTGGTCTGTTGCTAGGATATCCCTATATAACTGCAATATACTATAATAGTTCCCATTTTCTTTGCCATTATCCCAATATAACCCCAATGTACTGTAGTAGCTTCCATGTTCTTTTCCATTTTCCCTCTTTAACCCCAATTTACTAGGCCTGGTCTGTTGCAAGGATGGTGGAGAAGTGCTTACCAGTGCTGATGCCCTGTGCGCCTGTCAACGTGGCCATGTCAACAATGAGCTCTGCACGGAGATCCTTCGCAGCATGCGCCACACCATCCGCTAACACCAAACGACCCTCAGCATCGGTATTGTTGATTTCAGAAGTGAGGCCGGAGTAATGCATGATGATGTCATCATTTAGGAACATGCCTGGACCGATGCCGTTCTCTGCAACGCATAGCACGCAATGGAGCGGAGCTCCTGTCGGCAGTCCACCGCACTTCACTGCGGCCAACCACGCGCCAAAGACGCCTGCAGCGCCTCCCATGTCACGCTTCATGCCGCACATCCCTTCACCTGGGTTCTTGTTGAAATAACCAATACCATTTAAAAAGATCTTTTTATTGATATTGGGCCCAGGTATCCATAAAAAGGTAAAATTCTGTTCTACAAGAGCCCAGTCACGGGATTTCAGTGCCGCACCTCCGGTGTCGTAGGTGATGCCCTTCCCAACAAGCGCCACACCAACAGGAGGACCACTCTCCCTCTCCGACGCAGAGCTGGTGGGATTGTGTGTGAGCACGATTAGGCAAGGAGGTCTCTGATCCGCGCTTTTCCCCACGGTCCAAATGCCTCCGTATCCTTTGTCCCGAAGCTCAGTCCCCTCGATGACGTTCGCTTTCACCTTCTCCAAATTCTTTGTGGTGGCTAATACGAGCTCCTTGAAGGTTACTGGCTGAATTAAATTGGGGGGCATGTCCACCAAACCTTGCGCAACACGAATCGATGTAGCCATGTGATTCAATTTCACCAACAGTGTTCCTGGCGCAGCACCATGGAAGCGTACAGTCGCATCGGCAGGGTTTGGTGCTTCAGCTTTGCTTGCGAATGGCGGCAAGCAACAGGCTACTGCAAGACCTGTCGCTAAGCGATTGTCCTCTGCCACAGCTATGACGATGTCCTTGCCACGTATTTTGCCTTGCATGTGCTTCGCAATGACGTCAGGGCGGGCTTTGCACACCACGCGGCTTTGTGCTTGCGGAATTGCAAGCAAGGTCACTGTGCGAAACTCTTCACCGATCAAGAAAGAGGCAACCTTCGTCGAGCCACTGTTTTCAACTCTTTTTGCCAACGCATCCGCAGCTGCGGCCAAAACTGGGACGTTCAAAGCTTCAGCGATATCTTTGGCAGCCTGTTGCAGCTCTGGAATGCTGCCAATGATCCACATGTCTCTACCCTCTTTGAGGGACGTGCCAAGCTTGCCAAGCTCTTGAAATTGAACTTGTTCCTTCGGGTGAAGAAGAACATCAATGACATCCTCAGCAGTATCTGGACGAATCTTTTTAGACGACTCGCACACCTCCGCCATTGCAAGCCCACAGGGACAACAGTCCGTGCAGCTGACTAAGAGGAATGGCTACAGGTTGCAAGCAGCTACAGAAGGCTCTAAACCCAAAAAGGACCTTTAAAAACCTAATTCAGGATTCTTTATACAGGTTTAAGGGTTCTCTCCAATTTACTTTTGGGACTTGGTGGACATCACATGGGCAAAGGCTTCGGCACCCCGGGGGAGAGATCATCCAGGACCAGCCCCTCCGCGGGATGCGCACCGAAGTGCTCCAACGCTTTCATGGCGGTCGCGGAGAGGGCTTCTGCTTGGCTTGTTAGGATCCTATCAGAATCGTATGATGGTCATCGGGTCCTTATTTAAATATACTATAGTAGTTTCCATTTTATTTTCCATTATCCCCATATAACCCCAAGATACTACAGTAGTTTCCATTTTCTTTTCCATTATCCCAATCTACCCCTATATAACCCCTATATAACCCCTTCATAACCCCTATATAACCCCTATAAAACCCTATATAACCCCTATACTACAATAGTTTCCATTGTCTTTTCCATTATCCCTTTGGCGCTTGGGATCTGAAGCATCCCCTTAGCCCTCAACCCTCAATGCTAAACCCTAAACCCTAAACCCTAAATGCAGGCCTGCATCTCGGTCAAGACGATGAACTCCCTCGGCCCTTCGGCCATGGGGTTGGCCAGTACAGCGTGCTTCCCCACCTTTCAGATCTTCGGTGTTTTTTTTTTTGCAGCTCCTTTTTCCAGCTCGCAGAACGGGGTTTAGGGCTTAAGGTTTAGACAGGAGTTGCCCTTCAAAATCGGAATGTTCAGATTCAGATCCAAAGGGATCCGAGAACCCTTTGCAATCTCTGTATCCTGATGTTGATGTCACATCCCTCAATAGGGGTTTCTCAAAGGGGAACTCTTGGATGTAAACGGATCAAGGAGCCCCCGTCAAGCGGCATATAAGAATCGAATTACATTGCAACACCCCAAAACAAAATGGGCTGCTCCTAAGTTACCAGTGAAGACGAACCACATTGCGGATTTTATCCCCGTCCTACGGTGAATTAGTTCAAGTTCCCTTACTGCTCATGTAACCGCTAAACAACCCTAGTGTCCGTTTCATGTTACCATTTGCTTTTCCACTTGATTCTCCATTGTTCAAACCCTATATACCCCCATATAACCCCAACATCACCCCTATATAAGCCCCACATAGCCTTAACCCCCTCAACAGCAAACCCAGGCCAAAGTTACCGAATCTGTCTCCCAGGCCTGCTTGGCGTCTGCCGAAGCGTTGCCGTCAGAACGACCCTCCGTGTAGTGCATCTGCCCGCAAAGCACGCGACAGAGGAGCCTGGGCCCAAGACTTTTACAGTGTGTAGTGCCCGAGTTGACCTTGACTAACCGATGTGCCCCCTAAATAAAAAAAAAAAAAAAA